GTGGCCACTGGCCACGGCTCTGGTTTGTCCTGACTTCTGCATTCCCTGTCACTGGGAGGGAGGTGCACAGGTTGGACCTGGAGATCACTCTCTCCCCAAGATGCCGGCTTCTGAAGCCAACCCGCTCCTCCCAGCCGCTCTTGTCCGGTGAGGTGGCCGTCGGCGGCGAGCGGCAGGGCCTGATCCCTGGTCCAGTCACAGTGAGGCCCGTGGGCTGACGGCTCCTGCCCCAGGAACACACAAGCCCCCTCCTACTGCTGCCCGGAGGCCTGGGGTCCATGTCTCACAGCCTCTGAGAGACACCATGAAAATTAGTTACAGAGAGAGAGAAGTAGAGACTGAGAGAGAGGTCTTCCACCTGCTGGTTCACTCCCCAGGTGGCTGCAACAGCCAGGACTGTGCCATGCTGAAGCCCAGGGCCAGGAGCTTCCTCCGGGTCTCCCACACGGGTGCAGGGGCCCCAGCACTTGAGCCATTCCCCCTGTTTTCCCAGGACGTAGCAGAGCTGGATGGGGAGTGGAGAAGCCAGAACTCAAACAGGCACCCATGTGGGACGTCCGCACTGCAGGCGGCGGATTTACCCGCTGCACCACAGCACTGGCCCCAGGAAAATTCGCATTTTAAAAGTGGTGTCAAGAAAACTGAACAGTTGCTAAGAGAATTGTATCTGCAACTCCAGCTACTCACCTGAACAAATGAAAAAGGCACCAGAGATCTAAGTGGGAAAAAATAGATGGAGAAATTCAGGAATTTCCTTTTAACCTGTACGTGGGAAACCTCGGACTTGGAATCTAAAAGTGATGACATGGAGACCACGGAGTGGAAATCACCCAGGTGGAACCCACGGACGGCTGCTGGTGAGAGACGCTCACAGGTGCACCGGGGTCAGTGGGCAGGGACACGAGGCTGTGTCACCTCCTCGCCTCTTGGGTTTACAGGAACTCTGAGCCAGCCATGTCCTCCGCACACAGAGATGCACACGTGTGCATGTACACATGCGTGTGTCTACACATATGCACACATACACGCACACGCACACGCACACGTGACATCCAGTCTGAGCACCTGAGGATGCCACAGCTCCGACCTGGCACAGGCACCCATGGGCACCCTCCCTGGGAAGCACCCACCCTCGGATGAGTCCCCTCTGTGACAGGGTACTCTGATGGACGAGACCCTTGGGAAGGGAACCTGAGGCCTCCGAGGACAGAGCCAGGGCCGAGCCGAGCGCAGGAGCCCAAGAGGAGGATCTGGAAGGCCACCTCCCCTCCACGGGCTCAGGTCAGGGCGGCCCTGGGTGTGAGGGCCACCTGCTGCAGCCACGGGGGCCGGCGTGCTCATGCCCCACCCCCCCCATCTTCAGGCCATATCCTGGGGCGAGTCATGGCCTGCTCTGCCCTGCCCACCCACACCCCTCGGTGCTGTCTGGCCACAGCCTGGCCACAGGTACAGCTCCCGGCTCGTGCGGCACAGCCCTGATGGCTTGGGAAGGCCAGAACCGGACACCCACCCCCAGAGGCCTCCCCTCCAACTCCTCCAGCTACAAGCCCAGCTCAGCCTCAGAGTGGGTGCTTGGGGCCCTGGGTGGGGGGCAGACACACGGGGGCGGCAGACACAGGGTGGGGGCAGCATGGAGGGCCGGCTGCCCGCCCAGCACTGGCCCCGCCTTCTCCCACCCACACCACCGCGTCTCCCAGAGCTCAGAGTGAAAGGTGGCTTAGAGACAATGGCTGAAGGCACCCCCTGAACCCACGGCCCTGACGCCTGCCTAGTGGGCGGCACTCCCATGAGCCCTGGGTGCAGCCTGTGGATTCCGCAGGTGGACGGAGGAGACGCCCAGGTCCTCCACATTGTCTGGACAATTCGCCCTTAAACCCCAGCTGAGAGCCCAGAGGCTGCCGGGAGCCGCTCGGAGGCTGAGGCCTTCCTGAAGATGTTCTCATTATTTGATAAGGATTTAAATGCAGTTTAACTGCCTCCCTCGACAGTTCTTTTTAAATGTTTTAATTTCAAGCCCTTCCTGGCGTAATGCATTATAGGTGCATAATCAGGTTCTATATTCTCATCGTATCTCAGCCTGGAAAACAGGAAAGTGGGGTTGGAGGCGCAGCTCTGCAGAGGCGAAGGAACCCAGCTGCTGGGCGTGAAGCTGGGGTTGCCTCCCCTCCCCTCCCCTCCCCTGCACCTGCAGCCCCGGAGCCACCCGCCCATCGCTACGGCCAGAGGTGATGGAGCCACCCGCGCTCGCCCTGCCAGGAGCACCATGGACCCATTCCGGGCCAGCCGTGGGCACACAGGAGCCTCTCCCTGTGTGCACACGTAGCCCAGGTACCAAGAGCCAGGACCGCCTGCCGGGGGGCCTCTAACTGCCCACGCCCCCCAACAGCCTCTGGTTTAACAACTCTGCCAGGCTTGGAGTCCCTGTGCTGGCAGATTCCAGCCGCTCAAGTGGTTGGGTCCGGGCTGCCCACGTGGGAGACCCGGATGTGGTTCTGGGCTCTGGGCTTTGGGCTCACCCAGCACCGGATGTTGCACGTGTTTGAAACCAGTGAATGGAGGATCCTCTCTCTTTCTCTCGACTCAGGCCACTCCTCCTTCTTCTCTTGCCCTGGCCCCAGCCCCCAGGGCGACCCCGGGGCCAGCATGTGGTGGGGGCCCCTGGCACGGTCCATCGGGTGGTGTGAATGTCCCCCGCAAGGCCTGGGGAGGCCGCAGTGCAGACGAGCGAGCTCCGTGTTGAGTGACAGCTCTGTCCGCGTCCCCAGAACACAACAGCCTCGGGCACGTGGCCAGCGCCCAGCTGGCGCTGTGTGACTCAGCCGGGCCGGGTGTGACAGCCGGGTGTCCAGGCCTGGCCAGGCCGCGCCAGCGTCTCCTCTGCAGGGGTGCCGAGGGAGGAGGCGGCCGGCAGACACCTCCCCGCCAGGCCGTGGGCGCCCGAGGCTGAGGCCGGCAGAGCTGCCCCCACGCTGTGGCGGGCTGCAGGCAGCGTGCACGTGTTTGCCCGGGAACGGCTTTGCCGAGGACGGCCGGGGCCTTTATGGGCCGTTCCATTCCGAGACACCGTGAGCGGCCCTGCGGCCGTGCAGGCGGCGAGATATTTATTATATGTAGCCTGCAATAAATACTTCTTTTATTTCCTAAATAAAACCTAAAAATTCAGAGTGTTTTGTGGGCCTCTTTTATGGCTTCTCATAATGGGCCTGGTCCCAGGATCCAGCCACGATTTAGCGGCAGTGAACGTGAGCTACGGCGGAGCCCGAGGACGCGGGCACGGGGCCACTGCCGCGTCCAGGCTGAACCTGCTGCTAGCCGAGCTAGGCAGTGAGTGCGGCCCGGCTGCACCACGACTCCCGCCTCGGAGCATTCTGGGAAGAGCACCCGGGCACCCGCACTGCGCCACCCCCGGGGAATTGGCACACGGAGCTACAGCGATCCGCGCAGACGAATCCGGGAGAATCGCCCGCGGCAGCCGGCCAGGCCTCTGCCCTCCCTGGGGGTCGTCTGTTCCATTTCCCCACTCCGCCGCACTCCCCCCCAGGGCCAAGTCCAGGTGGCAGGGGTCGGCAAAGGGAGGGGTGAGGAGACGCATCCGGGCGCTCCCAGATTCCCACCCGTGGACGCCCCTGGTCCACTGCGCCCAACAGCTCCCGGAATCAGAGTGGGCGGCAGGAGAGAGGCAGGGATGGTTCCCACCCCCCACACAGAGCCTGTCACACGTGCACATACATGTGATTGCAGGCACACATTGCAGACGCATGCTCGTATTCACACGTGTAGTCACACGTATGCACACACACTGGCATGTGTCCTGGGTCAAAGGTCAGGCCTTGGGGGCACAGCCAGGGTCTGCACCCAGTGTGCTGGTGCCCAGCCCAGCCCGGCCAGCTGCTCACTCAGGGGCTCACCTGTGAGACCTCCCCTGGGGCTGGGGTGGGAGCCTTTGTGTGGGGCGGGGGCTTCCTGGGGTGGGACCCAGCCTGGCCGTCACACAGCAGTGCGCACACACGGGAGGATGCAACACACACGCGTGAGCTGTAAATCAGCAGAGGCCCCGAGCGGACAAACCGGTCCTGCTTGTTCCAAAGGGTGCTCTCCTCCTCCCGGGACCCAGCCAGCTGCGGCCTTGTCCCCAAGCCCGCGCCGCCCGCAGCCCCGCCCCCGGCTTTACCGTGCGCCCCCCAAGCTTTGGTTTCTGCCCCTCGGGGAGAGCGTCACGCCAGCCCCCCAGCACTCCTGGAGTGGGCACCTGTCACACTGAAGGGAGAAAAGCTAAACAAAGCAAGGTTTAAATATTCGCACAAACAAAGGACTGGTCAATAAAGCATCAGGGCACAGGCAGGGAGGACTCGGAGGGAGGGAGGCCACACCCGCACCAAGGCTGAGGGATCGGCCCTCACCCCCCACAGGGCGACAGCTGCAGCCGGGCCCCCCTGGGTCCCTGCCTGACCGTGGCCACAATGTCCCCGGCTTCTCCCTGGGGTCTGGATCAAGCCCAGGAAGATCCAGGGCCTCCTCCAACGGTGCCCCAGGGCCTCCCGTGGGGGCACTGACAGCCCCGCCCCCAGGGCCTCCCGTGGGGGCACTGACAGCCCTGCCCCAGGGCTGTGCTGGCACAAGGAGCTGAGAGCGGTCAGACAGGAGGAGCAGCACTGGGGCAGCAGAGGCCTGAGTGTGGGCGCTGGGGAGAGCTGCGGAGTCTGGGGCGCGGGGTGGGCTTCGGGGCAGAGGCGGGGGGGTCCCAGGCACCGCTGCCCTGGAGGGGCCCCGGGCCCTGCAGGACTCAGGCTCCAATGGTCAGCACCACCAGGTGCTAAGGCTAGGGGGCGCTGTTGCTAACCCACGCTGGGCTGGTGGCATCTCAAATGACAGAGACATTCAGAACTGAAACATGTCACAACTTGGAAATCACAAATATTCTATTTTCTGTACCGTCGTAAATGCACACAGAACACCAAGAAAACCTGCTTCCATCTGCAGCCCAGAGCCCTGTCAGTCAGTTTTACCAGAGCCCTGTCGCACAGGCAGTGGGGAGGGCACGAGTGGCACCGGGCGGGGAGGGGTCTCGGGAACAGACGGCAGTGCAGCGAGCCCCAGCCCCTCGCCCTGCGGAGGCCCGGCTCCCACCAGGGAATGCAGAACGCGTGGCCCCAGCACAGGAGAAAGCAGCAGACAGGAGTCCCAGCCGTGACGCGAGTGCAGCCCAGCCAGGGGTGGCGGCTGTGCGGGGGCATCTCCCGAGGGCACCAGGTACGGGCCGAGGGCAGGACAGGACGCTGCGGCCCGGAAGCCCGAGCTCGGCAGGGGTCTCACCCGCGCTCTTCCACTCCGGCTCTCGAAGCCGAGGGGACCTCAACGCATTCTCAGAAAAACAGAATTCAAAGAAACTTACTTGGATAAAATTTTTTTTTTCAATCTATATACGAGGGTCTTCACACAGTCCGTGGGAGATGTGCACTGGGGAAACTACTCATAGATTTCAAGCCGTGTGGCACCAAAGACAGTTCACCTCCACCCTCCTCGCCCGGGCGCCGTGGCACTGCCGGGGCTCCGCGGGCACGGCCGCAGCGCCTTCCTCAACCTCCAGGAACCGCCGTCTGATTCTGCCTCTTAGATTTTGATGGGAGTCTTAGTCACAAAATGCTGGTTTAAAATATTTATTAATTAAAAAAAATCTAAAATCTTTTATACAAAGATGATGAGAAAAATCTCATGCAAACTCTGGGCATACAATAAAAATAACTCAAATATTAATATGATGATTTGTACAAAATAGCTCCTTTGTCACAGGGACCTCTGGCGGCCACTGTGGCTTCCTCCTGGACACCCTCAGTGGGGGAACAGCAGAGACCCCTGGGCACTGCCGGTGATCCGTGGCCCCTGTGCCCACGCCCACAGCCATCAGGATGGTGAGTGACACCTGTCAGTGACCCACGGCCCCTGTGCCCACGCCCACAGCCATCAGGATGGTGAGTGACACCTGTCAGTGATCCACAGTCCCTGTGTCTACACCCACAGCCACTAGGATGGTGAGTGACACCTGTCAGTGATCCGTGGCCCCTGTGTCCATGCCCACAGCCATCAGGATGGTGAGTGACACCTATCAGTGATCCACGGCCCCTGTGTCCATGCCCACAGCCATCAGGATGGTGAGTGACACCTGTCAGTGACCCACGGCCCCTGTGTCTACGCCCACAGCCGCCAGGATGGTGAGTGACACCTGTCAGTGACCCACGGCCCCTGTGCCCACGCCCACAGCCATCAGGATGGTGAGTGACACCTGTCAGTGATCCACAGTCCCTGTGTCTACACCCACACTGCCAGGATGGTGAGTGACACCTGTCAGTGATCCGTGGCCCCTGTGTCTACTCCCACAGCCACTAGGATGGTGAGTGACACCTGTCAGTGACCCACGGCCCCTGTGTCCATGCCCACAGCCATCAGGGTGGTGAGTGACACCTGTCAGTGATCCACGGCCCCTGTGTCCATGCCCACAGCCATCGGGATGATGAATGACACCTGTCAGTGATCCACGGCCCCTGTGCCCACGCCCACAGCCATCAGGATGGTGAGTGACACCTGTCAGTGACCCACAGCCCCTGTGTCCATGCCCACAGCCATCAGGATGGTGAGTGACACCTGTCAGTGACCCACGGCCCCTGTGTCTATGCCCACAGCCGCCAGGATGGTGAGTGACACCTGTCAGTGATCCACGGCCCCTGTGCCCACGCCCACAGCCATCAGGATGGTGAGTAACACCTGTCAGTGATCCGTGGCCCCTGTGCCCACGCCCACACTGCCAGGATGGTGAGTGATGAGTGCCCTATTGCTACTGCTCAGACAAGGAGACAGAGCCCCGGGGTTCTCAGGAAATGCTGGCTGAGTCGTGGGTGATAGAACTGCCTTGAGGTCGTGCACACGGCGCTCGTCCGGCTCAGCCGCAAGTCTGCATGGATCTGTCGCTCCTGTAGACTACAAGTGATTTGCATAATTAAAACAATCGGATCGACGTATCATGGCGACTGAAACTGCATCCAACTGCGAACATCGTACAAAAGAGAGAGCTTCAATATGAAACAGTAGTCCCGCCAGGCCACGCCGGCCCGCCCTGCCCCGGCGACTCGGCGTCCGCCCGGCAACCCAGCGCCGGCACGCACTCATCTCATCTTGCGCAGCCGCAGTCTGTTCTCCTTGTCCCTTTTCTTGAGGACCAGGATGAACTGGTTGAAGAAGTGCTCCTGGTCCTTCCTCTTGGGAACCAGGCGGAACCGCTGATCGCGGCCGTGCTTCTCGGCAAACTCCTTGAATGTGGTCCTGGAAGACAAGGAGCTGCCTGAGACGCGTCCCGGAGCGGAGCAGCCGTTTCCGCTGCTCTGCCGGCGTCCCCTCCCCCGCCACGGGGCCCTGAGGGGTCCCCTCCTGTGGACACTAACGGGCCCTGCCGTCCCCAGTCCCTGGCTGCGCTGGGCTCGCATGGCCCACCCGCCCCGACCCTGCCGCTGCTCCCAGGCACAGCCTCTGCTCCTTTCCTCACTCCCACTAGAAGCGGGGGCCAGGGCTGGGCCCCTCCCCGGTGTCGGAGCTGATGGTCCGGAGGCTCCGAGCCCACGTGAGTGTCCTGGCTCTGCTCCTGGATCCAGCGCCCTGGGAGGCAGCGGTGATGGCGCACGCGGCTGGGTCCCTGCCACCCACGTGGGAGTCCCAGATTGAGGTCCCAGCTCCCGGCTCTGGCCCCGGCCCAGCCCCAGCCACTGGAGGAACTGGAGTAGTGAACTAGTGCATGGGCGCTCCCCCCGCCTATCTGTCCACGTCTGCCCCTACCCCTCTGCCACTCAAACAAAACGCTTGTAAGAGGGAAGAGAAGAGGTGGGGACGGGTGCCGCCTCCTCGGGGTCTCGCCTGCTCCAGAGGCTTAGGGGGCTCTCAGCCCGTTCACAGCCCCCGTGGCAGGTGGGACGCAATTAACCCACACCACAGTTCTGCCCAGCAGGCACCATTGCCCTGAGCAGCCAGCGGTGGCTGTGAGCAGGAAGCACCCAGATTTGCAATGAGTGACCTAGACGTGCTGAGCTGCTGAGTCCCTGGAAGAAGGTCATCCCAGAGCCACAAGCCACGCCCACAGGCCTGGGCAGCTCCCACCGCAAAAGGCTCTGGGGCCTCTGCAGGGACAAGTGGACCTGTGTAGGCTGTGGCCCCACAACTTCCAGGACCCTGGGCTTGGACTTGAAGCCAGGGACTGTGATGAGGACACAGCCGCCCAGGCCTGGGGGAGCTGGCGTGGGCAGCCAGCCCGGTGGCTTGGCCACAGGTATGTTTCTGGCCGGCCTGGGAGCCGGGGTCCTCGCCACGGAGCAGGCGCCCCGGGTGCAGGGGACGGCATCAGCTCTTTACGGAGAGTTTTCTGTTTTCCTGCAGACATTGAATCATTGCCTTAAATTATTATAACTTAATAGCTTTCTTATCCATGAATAACAAGATTACTCTGACACAGCTGTTGGAGGCGAGACGAATAATTAGCAGGAGCTGCCGACGGTTGCCAGTCAACAGGGAGCCCACAGCTCGCTGGCCCAGCTGCTGCCTGCTGGCACAGTTCACGCGTGAGATGCCCTCCCCCTGGCTCCCCGCCCTCCTTCCCGTGGCGTCAGCCGTGGTGTCACGGGGCTAGGAGCCCTTGCTTGTGCTTCTGCCACTGACCTGCATGTGAAAAATGAAGGGGTCAGAGCTACCTGGGCCCTGGGCCTCCCTGCACCTGCCCGCAAGGAGCCAAGCCCTGTCAGCCGGCAGTGGTGTCTCCTCGGGCCTGCATGGGGTGGCCCTGCCTCTGGGCCACACCATGGGATGGTGCCACGTCCTGCTGGCTCTGGCGGGCTCTCGTGTGGGCCTGGGTGGTCATCTGGGTCTCCGGCAGGCATCTCTGCTCTCCCTCTGGTAAAGGGAACACCACCCAGGCTGCAGCTGGAGGTCAGCCCCCTAGGTGGGCGGGGCTATGGGCTATCCCAGAGCCCCCTGGACAGCCCCTGTGCCTGGGAGACCAGGAGCCACTTGGACAGTGAGCTTCAGCCCTCAGGGGACCCCTTAAGCAGCCCGGGCCACACTCCGCGGGCCCTCTAGGGTGCTGGGATGTGAACCACACAATGACCAGGAAACTATGATGGGGCAGATCCCAGGAATGCTTTTGACAATGGCATGGACTTAAGTGAGAGATACTAAGAGCCATTTCAAAGGTGCTCATCCACTGCACTACTGCAGCCTACAGCAGCCGTGTGCAGCCACCCCAGCCCTGTGCACACCACACCAGCCCTGTGCAGCCACACCAGCCGTGTGCACCTACAGCAGCCGTGTGCAGCCACACCAGCCGTGTATACCCCACCCCAGCCCTGTGCAGCCACACCAGCCGAGTACACTCACCCCAGGTCTGTGCACGCCACCCCAGGTCTGTGTACTCCACCCAGCCCTGTGCACGCCACACCAGTCCTGTGTACCCCCATCAGCCCAGTGCACCCCATTCCAGCCCTGTAGACCCCACACCACACCTTTGCACCCCACATCAGCCCTGTGTACCCCACCCCAGCCCTGTGCACCTCACCCCAGACCTGTGTACTCCACCCCAGCCCTGTCACCCCACCCCAGCCTTGTCACCCCACCCCAGCCTTGTTACGCCACCCCAGACTTGTGCACCCCACACCAGCCCTGTGCACCCCACCAAGACCTGTGCACCCCACACCAGCTGTGCGTACCCCACCCCAGGCCTGTGCACCCCACACCAGCCGTGTGTACCCCACACCAGCCGTGTGTACCCCACCCCAGCCATGTGCAGCTGCCAGCAGCCGTGTGCAGGCCACACAGTGCTACGCACCTCACAGGTTCACGATACCGCACGTCGCATCCTAAGGGTCCTACCCCCTCCCAGGCTCTGCCAGTGTCTTTGTCTCCTCGTGCCCCAGCTGCTCAGGGCGCTCTGAGGTCTCCTCCGTCTTCCCAGGTGTGCATGGGAAGACCACGTGGGCCACTGCTCATGTCCCTCGTGGGCGCAGAGCCGGCAGCTGCCGTCTTACATACGCGGCAGCAATGGCGAGGACCGCACACCCCGGCCGCCCAGCACCGCGAGGCCGTGCTCCCGGTCCCTGCCTGAGGCTGTACGGTGACGCTGGAGTCCCTGCAGGCCCAGGCCATGAGGCACAGGGGCAGGGACTCCAGGAGCGGATCCTCACTCCCACGGCCAGCGCCTCTCTGCCGGCGCACACAGCAAAGGCAGGGCCGGAGCTCCGGCTGCCCCGGGACGGCTGGAGCCACAGGACACCATCGTCTGCCCGTGCCTGGACCTACTGCGGCTTTCTCGGATAGAGCTGGGGATGGGACAGCTCACGCCGTCGGCCTCAGGACTGTGGGAGCAGCACTCGTCAGTCACGCCAGCTACTGACAGGTGTCCCACGGACCCGACGGGGAAAACCCACGTCTGCAGAGAAAGCACCCGCTCCACCCATGTGGAAGAGAACGCTGCGTTTATAAAACAAAGTCGCAGGAAAATCATCGTTTACTTTCCACAAACATCAGTCCCCAAAGTACCACACGTTCCTTTCCTTGAGAAGTCAGTGGAATTCTTTACAAGGACAAGAGCGAAGCGCATGCACTTCCCGTCTCTGCCCTCCACTCCCGCAGCCGTGGACCCTAGTCCTGCAGCAGCGCCTGAGCTGCTGTTCTGGGGAAGCTTCGGCACCAGCCCGGGGTCACCGGCACTGCGCCGAGGGGCTGGGCCCGGGTGCTCATTCTGGGTCTCCCTCCCTCGACCAGAACCGGCCTCCTCCTGCAGGCTCTGGTTCACTTCCCAGGTCCCGGGGTCAGGGCTGCTGGCGCTGCGGAGGGCGGGGTCCTGGCGCACCTGCTTGGCACCCCGCTGAGATGATGGATGGTGGGGGTCTCCGCTCTGAGCGCACAGAGAAGCCAGGCCTCTGGCCCCCCAGGTCTCCACCGCCTCTACCAAGCACCTGGCTGTGCGGCTGACCCAGGCCCCCCGCGCGTGCGCCCACAGCACCGGGAGCGGCCGCCCAGAAAGCGCGCAGCCCGGGTCCCCGTACCTCGGTGACACTTCCGATTCCTCCAGCAGCTTCCTGAACTCCTCTCTGGCCAGCAGCAGTTTGCTTTTCTTCTCCTTGTACTCTTCTTTTATTCTTGTCTTGACGAACTGTTCGAAAATCTTAACACACACACACACACAAGGAGAGCGTTACCCAGCGCGTGCACACACACACACACACACACACGGAGAGCGTCACCTAGCACACACACACAAGAATAGCATCACCCAGCGCGTACACACAGGAAAGTGTCACCCAGCACACACACACACACACACACACACACACGGAGAACATTACCCAGCGGCGCAGGGGCAGTAGCAACAGCCGCGAGGATGCGGGGCGAGCCCTTCTCACGGCTGCTGGGGCTCCGAGGCCCCGCCAGCCCTCCGCGTGGGCTCCGCACGCAGCCCCGCGTGTGGGTCAGGCCCTGCATCGGGTCCTTCAAGAAGCCCTGGGTGACGGCAGCCCCTGCCTGTGGACAGCAGTCTGGACACATGGCCCCCAGTGCCCGTGGTCCCTGCGGGCGCTAGTAGCACACGGGCACGGTCCACTTCCGGTCACCTCCTGTGGCGGTGGAACAGCTCACGTCAGGGTCTGCAGACGCGGCCACAGCGTGAAGACCTGCACCCAGCACTGCTGACGCCCGCACTCGGAATGCGGGAGCTGGGGCAGTGAGGAGGTGCAGGTGGCCCCTCCCGAGGTCGGGGGCTCCAGGCTGCGTGGGTCCTCCATGTAGAGTGCCCTCCGAGGAGGCCTGGCCCTCGGGCACTGCGCAGGCCCTCATGTCCACCACAAGTGCCCTCTGAGCCCCGCCCCCACAGGAAATCCACTTTGGGGCGCCATGGCGGGGCGGGGGTGGGGCAGGGGTCCACGAGGGACCCCGGGTGAGAGGCTCACACCAGGGCGGACTCTCCCGTCACAGTCGTCACTCACCGCCCCACATCAGGGCAGCTGTCACTGTGCACTGGGAGGTCACAGGCCGGGGCAGGGCCACGCCATTCCCAACGCCGTCCAAGCCTCAAGGACCGGAGAACGAGTACATGCTGACACCAGCGTAAATGGAATCACCAATCAGCACCACACACTATCCTTCAGGCCAGTGACAGCCGCTCTGTGCCTCTCCGGCCACGGCTTCGTGGGTCCCCTGCTCTGCCCAGTGGACGCAGCTGGGAAGTTGGCACCAGCTGAGGCCCTGGACAGCTCCCCAGTGGACGTCCTTAGACCGCGTCTTGCTCCGGATTCCACTTCCACTCACGGGAGGGTAACCGTGCCACGGGGCCCGGCTCACCGCGGCAACTATGGCTCCGAGCAGGTGTGCATCCGCCTCGGCGCGGTGGCTCGGGCTCAGTCCCCTTCGAGGCGCAGTTACATAAATGCACAGTCGTCCCACGCTCACGTGGACAGAACCGTGCAGGCGGGGTCGTGCGGCTCTGCCGGGAATGGTCCGCTCTGTGGAGCCTGAGTCTGGACGGCCACGTGTGCCGAGTGCAAACCTCCTCAGGGTCCCGGCGGGTTCTCCTCTCTCCCCCGCTTCCAGTGCTGCGACCGTCTAACACGGCAGGGCTGTTTTCCCCTTCTTGAACAAATTATTCCAGTTTTAACCAAAGAGGGGCACGACTTTTTACAGAGAGCATTGCTCATTATCTTGTTAGAGTTTAATAAAATGAAACACGGCTGTCACCATGGAAACAGGCCTGGTCTGCTCTCCCTGGGCCCGGCCTCGGTCCAGGCAGCTCCCGTGGCCTCTGCAGCCCAGGGACGTGGTGAGATCCCAGCTCTGCCCACGGAATGCTGAGAGGTGGTGGCCCCCATGTGGACTCCGGGCCTGCTGACCCCACAAACCCGTAAGCAGGGCTGAGCTTCCGGGGCCGCCAGCCTTTGTTTATTTTCTCAACTTGGAGAAGCCACAAGGTCCCCGTTAGAGAGGGTGCAGGCCAGGGAGGGCGCTCAGCACATGGGCGGCGGGCGGCCTGCTTCCCTCCTCCTGCCCGGGCCCTCTGGGCTCTCCCCAGCGTGGCGACACGGCCCCGCCGCCCCAGGCCCCACAGCCGCCTCCTGGTGCAAGCTGACACCGCGGTGGGGACACTCGGGTGGGGAGGAGGGTGGGTGGGCACGGCCCAGCAGGTCACACCTGTGCTCTCAACCAGGCCCGGCGGCTCCTGAACCTGCTGTGAACCCGCTCACTCCAGCAGGCACACTGGGGCCCTGGGGCAGGCGGCCTGAGACGTGACTGACGCCAGTGCTGGGCTTTGGCTGAGGGCTGGCCGGTCTCTCCTAATTCTCTGACTTCCTAACGATGCCCTCAGAGTGGCCGCAAGGGCCACAGGACGCCGTGTGCAGCATCGCGAGCTGCCGGCGGGCTCCCGACATCAGGCGGCTCCTCACCGCGGGCCGGGCGTCTGTCACGTCGGCAACGGCCTCTGTGTGCGTCCAGAGTTGAGCTTTGTATTTTTATTCTCGCAAGGAAGGAGTGAAATAGCAATGCTTAAAGCCCACAGTTTCCCTCGGCTCTGGAATGAGATACAAATCCCGCGTTCAGCTCAGTCAGCATTATTTTGAACCACTGTGGGCACGTCTCTTGGATTTTAAAATATTTCTTTCTGGAAAATGAAACTCACCTAAAAGCCGACAAAAGGTAATTACTTCAAGGGCCAAGTTCCGGATTCTAACACGGTCGACCCCGGCCCGGCCGGGCGGAGCTTCTAACTCCTGGGCACCGGGGTGGGAGGGGCAGCGCCCGGGGTCCCACGGCGCAGACGCCTGGCTTCACTGAGCGCGTCCCAGGCATTTGTCAGAGGAACCTCGCGCGCCAGGCACGGGCTGGCAGGAAGACCGCGATTCCCAAGCCGAGGGGAGGCCCGGGGGGCACCAACCACGTGGCAGGGAGCACCTCCGTGTTGCTGACACTGCAGTCGCCACGTGAGCCATCTCCGAACCCCAAGCGCCAGAACCGGCCTTGCGCACAGTCCAACTGGGACAAGAAGCGGACGTACGGGGACTGGAGCCTCCCAGAATTTACCTGAATCCTCCTGGGGTCGTCACAGTCCCCACAGACCCCAGGCTGAGCACAGAGGCTGCGTGAGCCCAGGCTGCTGTGGCATGGGCCCCACCCCCACGATAACAAGCCCGGCCGCGGCTCAGCCAACATGGCATGTCCCTCTGTCTGTCCGTCCAGCCTGGGAACCCTGCTGGCCCCGTGAGCTGATTTCTCAGGGAGCCAGGGCAGCCCCTGGACAAGCCCCTCTTCACGACGGCTCCAGGCAGCCAGGCCAGCCCAGCGCAGCCTTTCCAGGCCCACTGACCTCGCAGGCCAGTGCTCCCTGGGCCTGTCCCAGGCCACTGCCAGGATCTGAGAACAGAGGCCCGTGGTGTTTCTAACATCTGATGTCATCTGGAATGCACGCACAGCCCCCAGCTTTCCATCTTTGAGGGTGCGGATTTGTGTAACAGGGCCACGGCCAAGGCATCAGGTAAACACCTCCACCAGCTCCTGTCACTCACAACTAGAGTGCTCGCTCCTCACCCCCGCCCTGCAGCAAAACCGAGGGTGGCAGGTGCACCCTCGCCCACGCCGTGTCCCCCGCCTGGCCTCTTGCCTACCCGTGACATTACCTGTTTTCGTTCCTCTGAGTTCAGCAGGAGATAGCGGGGGTCAAACACAATTTTATGCAATTCCTTCTCCCAGGTAGAAAACGCTGACACCTGGAGAAAGATATTCGATAGAGTTGCTTTTAGCATCCGACGCGGAGCCTGGAATGATCAATGCAAAGGAGGCGGCGCCCAGGCGCAACAGACCCGGCGGGCAGCGCTCTGCGAAGTGTCAGACGCGCCAAACTTCCCAAGAAAACCAACACTAGGAGACCAGAAAATGCCATCTCCAGGCCACCACACGGCTTCCCGGGTCTTCCAGGGCGGGCCCCTGACCTGCAGCCTGACCGGATCTGTGGACAGAGGCAGCCTGGATCTCACAGCTCAAAGCGGATCCCAAGATGAGAGCTGTGAGAGGCTGCGGACGAGGGCGGTGCCTGGCGCCCAGGCGGTGAGCACCCAGCTCACCGCGCCTCAGTGTCCCTGTGTCCACCCTGCTTATGTGACTCAGCTTGAAATATAAGGCCACTTCCTGTTCACAGGAAAGATTGCGAGACTCCTAGAGAGTTGCCACACAGCCACGCGTTTCCCACGGGTTAACAGCTTACACCGGCCGGCCGGAAGCACGGATGCTGCCGGCACCGGCACCCAGGCGGGCAGCGGCAGCTCAAGTCCGCCCCTCGCTCAGACGGCTTTCTTCCACCGCCTTTGCCCTGTGTGCCAGGAGCCCGCCCTGCGCCATGCGCCTCGCTCCTCGGACCCCTCCACACCGGGACAGCACCCAGATCTCCCGCAGGGTTGGTCTCAGGTTTTTCTCATCATGGGCTGAGGTTAGGGGTTAGAAGGAGGCCCACAGAAGAAAGTGCCAGTCCCACATGTCACATCAAAGCTGCACACTGTCACCAAGACTCGTCACTGATGATGGTGCCCTGGCCGCCTGGCGGGGCTGGGCGGGCGTCTGTGAAGAGACCCTGTTCCCTCCATACGGGCTCTCTGGACCTGTGTGTGACCCGCAGTCCCTGGGTGGGTGTCGTCCTCTCCCCAACAGGTCCTTGGTTCACAGTCGCCTATTTACAGGGAATGGACTTGTGGATATCCCTTCAGTCTGTGGGACATGCACGGTCTGCTTTGCTGTGCTGCTCCAGCCCCGACCGCGAGGTGTTTGTGGTTGGCCCTGGGTCCCCCAGCACAGGCGCGTGGTCTTGTCCCCCAGACACCCCAGTTCTGAAGGAAACCCTGGCTCCTCCTCCAGACAGCGGTGCTGGGAACAGAGCCCCGCCCTGGGCGTGCTTGCTGCCACTGATGCCACTGCTCCCGGGTTCCATCCGACAGAGCAGGGCGGTGCCTCAGCCGTTCGTCCAGGCAAAGGCAGGTGGGGGAGAGGCAGGTAGGGCTCCCAGGCAGCTGGGATGCTGCCCGCTTGGACCAGGCCTGCTCCTCACAGCTCATGCGGCGCCCGGGAGGACGGCCTAGGTCACTGTCTGTAGGTGCAGAGGCTGGGATGCGGCAACCGCCAGCGACTGAACTCACCTGGGCTGCAGGAGCCCGAAGCAGGGCAGAGGTGGACACAGACAGAGGCACCTGCAGGACAGTCCGAGGTGTGTGTAGAGCCTGGACGTCCTCTTGAGACCACTGGGAGCAGAAAGGTCAGTGTGACGTCGACCCTGGGACAGCCACCCTGGGGTCAGTGTGACGTCCACCCTGGGACAGTCACCCTGGGGTGTGACGTCCACCCTGGGACAGCCACCCTGGGGTGTGACATCCACCCTGGGACAGCCACCCTGGGGTGTGACGTCACCCTGGGACAGCCACCCTGGGGTGTGACGTCACCCTGGGACAGCCATCCTGGGGTGTAACATCCACCCTGGGACAGCTACCCTGGGGTGTGATGTCCACCCTGAGACAGACTCCCTGGGGTCAGTGTGATGTCCACCCTGGGACAGCCACCCTGGGGTCAGTGTGATGTCCACCCTGGGACAGCCACCCTGGGGTCAGTGTGACGTCCACCCTGGGACAGCCACCCTGGGGTCAGTGTGACGTCCACCCTGGGGCAGCCACCCTGGGGTCAGTGTGATATCCACCCTGGAACAGCCACCCTGGGGTCAGTGTGACATCCACCCTGGGACAGCCATCCTGGGGTGTAAGGTCCACCCTGGGACAGCCACCCTGGGGTCAGTGTGACGTCCACCCTGGGACAGCCACCCTGGGGTCAGTGTGACGTCCACCCTGGGACAGCCACCCTGGGGTGTAAGGTCCACCCTGGGACAGCCACCCTTGGGTCAGTGTGGCGTCCACCCTGGGACAGCCATCCTGGGGTCAGTGTGATATCCACCCTGGGACAGCCACCCTGGGGTCAGTGTGACGTACACCCTGGGACAGCCATCCTGGGGTGTAAGGTCCACCCTGGGACAGCCACCCTTGGGTCAGTGTGACATCCACCCTGGGACAGCCATCCTGGGGTGTAAGGTCCACCCTGGGACAGCCACCCTGGGGTCAGTGTGACGTCCACCCTGGGACAGCCACCCTGGGGTGTAAGGTCCACCCTGGGACAGCCTCCCTGGGGTCAGTGTGACGTTCACCCTGGGACAGCCACCCTGGGGTGTGACGTCCACCCTGAGATAGACTCCCTGGGGTCAGCTGTGATGTCCACCCTGAGACAGTCATCCTGGGGTCAGTGTGACGTCCACCCTGGGACAGCCACCCTGGGGTCAGTGTGACGTCCACCCTGGGATAGCCACCCTGGGGTCAGTGTGACGTCCACCCTGGGACAGCCTCCCTGGGGTCAGTGTGACGTTCACCCTGGGACAGCCACCCTGGGGTGTGACGTCCACCCTGAGATAGACTCCCTGGGGTCAGCTGTGACGTCCACCCTGGGATAGTCATCCTGGGGTCAGTGTGATGTCCATCCTGGGACTATCACCCTGGGGTCAGTGTGACATCCACCCTGGGACAGCCACCCTGGGGTGTGACGTCCACCCTGGGACAGCCATCCTGGGGTGTAAGGTCCACCCTGGGACAGCCACCCTGGGGTCAGTGTGACGTCCACCCTGGGACAGCCACCCTGGGGTCAGTGTGACGTCCACCCTGGGATAGCCACCCTGGGGTCAGTGTGACGTCCACCCTGGGACAGCCTCCCTGGGGTCAGTGTGACGTCCACCCTGGGACAGCCACCCTGGGGTGTGACGTCCACCCTGGGACAGCCACCCTGGGGTGTGATGTCCACCCTGAGATAGACTCCCTGGGGTCAGCTGTGACGTCCACCCTGGGATAGTCATCCTGGGGTCAGTGTGATGTCCATCCTGGGACTATCACCCTGGGGTCAGTGTGACATCCACCCTGAGACAGCCTCCCTGGGGTCAGCTGTGATGTCCACCCTGAGACAGTCATCCTGGGGTCAGTGTGATGTCCACCCTGGGACAGCCATCCTCGGGTCAGTGTGATGTCCACCCTGGGATAGACACCCTGGGGTCAGTGTGATGTCCACCCTGGGACAGCCATCCTCGGGTCAGTGTGATGTCCACCCTGGGACAGCCACCCTGGGGTCAGTGTGACGTCCACCCTAGGATGGCCACCGCGGGGTACAGTCTGACAGATGGATTTTCTTGACTGACAACTTCTATCTTCAGGAGTCTGTCAAATCCACGAGCTCTTTATTGGGGGAGGTGACCCAGGCTCCAGCCAGGGACTTGCTCCAACCTACTGAGACCATGGTCAAATGCACCCACGTCGCGGGGCACGTGGGACCCTCTGGAACAATGCCCAGGTCCCTGTGCCCTCGTGGCTGGCTGGGAGCTGTCACACCTCCACACCTGAGCTCTTGTGCACCTACAGAAACATGAGGCTGTCCAGACGTCTGTCTGTCCGACCGGCCACCTCTGGCCCGTCCTCTCCACTCCACATCTGAGCTCCTATGCACTTTGGGGGTCCTGGGGACAGCACGGGGGTCTCACTTGCATACCCAGAGCTGTCTCAGCAGGGTCTCCCGCATGTGGCGAATTCTGTCCCAAACACAAGCTGCTGCGGAGCTAACGTGCTGACCAAAGTGGAACGTCAAGCAACCTGCCTTTCCTCCCTCCTTGCGATTTCTAAGCAGAGACAGGAGGCCCAGAGTGTGCTGTGCGCCTGGGACTGGAGGTGGTGGCACGTGGTCTCCACGGGTGCAAGCGCCCTGCAGACAGGGTGACGGTCACCCTTACCTGCACCTGCTGGCGACCACGCGCGTGGGCGTGGATCCGGGCTCCCCTCACCACGCGCTCCTGTCCTCGGCCACAGGGGCAGCAGGGGCAGCAGGGGCAGCTCCCCTCGGGTGCCTCCATGGAAGCTCGTGCCCGTGCGACTCACCGCGCTGCGTGATGCAGGTCGTGTGAGACACAGACTCTCCAGGGGCTGCCCACCGGCCCCTGCACAGCGTCCCCCCCCGGCCCCCTGCCCTTCCTGCTGTTTCTGTCTCCGTCAGAGCGAGGGAGGTGACCCCTGGTGTACAAGGGCCCAGCTCCCTCACCTGCCCCACACCCCGACAGCCCCGCCCCACTGGGTTCTCACAGCCCTCTGTGTGTGAGGAGCCTCGGGCCGTCCCCCTGAGCTGCCCGCTCACCGCCTGCCCCTCTGCCTGCACAGATGGGAGCAAAGTGCCCATCGGCTTCTCCCCGTTCGCCCGAGCGAGTCTGTGCCGTCTCTGACTCAGGGCCCCTGGGAATTACAGGTGCCTGTGGCCCTGGCCTGGTGGCTGGGCGTGGCGGGGGAGGCGAGAACACGGTCTGTGTCCCCAGTCTCCTGGGAGCAGCCCCTGGGTGGGGGCCCGGGTGTGGCAGTGCACCGAGGAGGCCTCTCCAGACAGCTCTGGAAACGGTGACGCAGGACGCGAGCCAGTGACACGTGACTGAGCAGGTGACCAGGGCGCTGCTGGGCTGACTCAGCGGAACACGCTGTCCCGCCAGGAACGGAGGGGCTGAGCTGCTCCTTCTCCAGGGCTCCCCGGGGACACTAGGTCCCTCTGCGTGGGGGAGGGAGTGGTCTGGACACAGAAAGCTCCAGGAGGCCAGGCGAGCCCAGGTGAATGGGAAGTGAGCCGCGGGGCTGGCTGCCAGCAGCCCTGTGCCCCTGGGCGTGTGGCC